TATTTTTATGCACATAGTAACTGCTACTTTATCTAAACTAGACCTTCAAGGAATAGTTATATGATGGAGAATGTCAGCCAAAAGATGTTGACTGGCTAGCAGTGTGATGTGATGGTTCGTGACTTAGTGAACAAAAACCAGGCACAAAATTGTGGTTTAGCATCATGACCCACCTAGTGGGTGGGTTAGGAGGCAAGGTGGAGATTAACAGCAGTCATATGTGCCACAGTGTCTTTGCAATAATAATTCCCACTGCTTAATCTATGCTATTTGTGTGATGATATTGAAGCACAGCCCCAATGTACTGGATATTTATGCTTAACCTAATATATGAAGCAAGCCATTGGATTAGTACAATGCTAAGTAACATGAACATTAATAAGTGAAATGAACATTTTTACAGAAACAACATATGATATCTAAGATATAAGCAAAACTATTTGGCTTTTATTGCTAGGTTAGTGTCAGCCAGGTGGGGTAGTCCAAACAGGAAGCATGACTAGATGTTCTAAATCTGCTTTATTGTAAGATGACATTAACAGAAGTCTGAAAGTACATCCTCCCCTCACTTTGCCTTTACAGTCCAAGAGATTAAGGAGAGTTTCTTTTGAGATGTCTGCCATGCCACCAATCCTTTTTTCTAGTACACAGTATTGGATTCCATCTTACTGTCAGGTAGGTACGCATGGATAACATTCTAAGTTATAAATAGTATTTTCCTATTCCCAAAGGTCTCTGCATTCCCTTTTATCAGGTAAAGTTTATTGACCAGGACAGTCCATGATCTTCATTTCTTCCATCTCTCCCAATTTTAAAGCTTCAATAGGATACAGTTTAAAACTGTGTTTGTCTGACATACTGTAAATAACCAAGAATATGTCGCCTAATATTTTCAGCAAACCTAAAGCCATGTGTAATTGGCTGCAGTTGCCATGAAACCCGCTAAATTGGTTTAACTATTTTCATCTTAACTTTAATTTTCTGACAGTGAGAACAATCAACCAGTGGAACAGCCTGCCTTCAGAAGTTATGGGAGCTTCATCACTGGAAGCTTTCAAGAAGAGACTGGACTGCCATCTGTCAGAAAAGGTGTAGGGTCTCCCGCTTGTAGGATGACCTACAAGGTCCCTTCCAACTCTGTTAATCTGTTATTCTGTTAACCACTTGTGTCATGCAAACATAACATTGCAGTTTTAACTCTGCCCATCCTTAATGTATTTTGCAGCATTTAAACATGATGCTGGGATGCTGTGCAGGTACAGGGCAATTGGAGAGTTCTCAAGAAGAAGATAGAAGAGTGAAGAAGATTCAAAGCGGTAAGAAGAAGATGGTAAAATGTAGAAAAATATTGAAAAGAGATGATTTGGATTCTCCTCATGTTCGTTTGTAGAAAGCCAAACAAAGCAAACATGAAAATAAACGGATCAAATGGGGCAAAGACAATGAGGCACAGTGAAGAACAGAGGTGGTTGGCTGGGGAATTTTGGAGCTGAAGTCCACAAATCTTAAAGTTGCCAAGGCTGGACATTCCTGGGTTGAAAGAAATGTTTTGTAGTCCAAGCAGACTGGAATTGTGCCTAGACCAAAGTCACTCGAATGGATTTGAGTTTATTCATCTCTGCTTTTTAAGGCACAATAGTCCTAATCTCTGTTTTAAGGATTAGATTAACAACTTTTTGCTTGCTCCTGTGTACAAATAGTTAATGTTGGGGTGCAATTAATTAAACCGATTTGGCAGGTTTCATGACACACACTGAAACTGCAACCAATAAAGAGCCTCACAGGCCCAATGGAAGATACCTTTGTTAAAAAAAATGAACAAAGGAACTTCACTGCATATCCCCAAGTACAACAGATGCTACCTAACAGACTTGTTTGAGTGTTTTATTGAGGTTGAGAAGATGGGTATTAGAAGGATGCTCATGTTTTGAAAATTGGGAGTAACAATTATAGCTATCAATTTATACACATGGAGGTCAGTTCCTGTGCCAAATGACCTATTAGTGTAATTTAATACTGGCCTAGAAAAACTTAATGCAAGTTTTGCAACATTGGTTTTCTTTCTAACAGAGCCCCTGTGAGATTCAAGCTGCAGACTGTCCCAATTTTACCTAGGGCACCACATTCCTGTCTTTATGATTGATTGATAGAAAGATCGAGAGATGGATAATGAAGAAATTTGTTCAGATGAAAGGAGGAAACCGCAAAATAATAATAATAATAATAATAATAATAATAATAATAATAATAATAA